ATTAAAAAAGATGGTAGTAAAAAAAGAAACTTACGGGCCAGTTTATACAATATTTGAACTGAGATTAAGTTAATCACGTCTTTAAACGTGGCGTTTAGCGACGTGGGATTGGTGTAGAGTAGGTCACATGGTACTTTAACGCCGTGTTAAAAATTTAATCGCAAAACCGGCTCTTACAGATCTAAGTATTCGTACACAAATAATTTTAAATAAAATATGAGTGTTCCGTTACTACTACACAACTCGTTCACTACAACACGAAATCCATTTTTAAGCCTTAACTTTATCTCGTGCGGTTTATTGACTGTACAAATTTAGAAATACATATGTTCGTTTTGCGCTTTCGTCCATTGGTGGACAAATGTTTAATTAGTAGCAGTTTTAACGATACTAATAGGTGTAAGAGATTTTTTTTATATGTGGAAAAATGTTATTATACAGGTATTCCAACGATCTGGTGGTGGCAGGTTAAACATTCCCTGTGATTTATTCGAAAAAAATCTTTGCTGCAATGTAACAGAATCCATTTAGAATCGATTTAAAATTATTTCTAAATATACCGGGGTCTTTTGTATGTTTTTAAACTTAACACCCTAAACATTTTTAGAGGTTCCAAGTCTTAAGTACAAAAAAATGATCTAAAATTATTTAGACAAAACTTCCCTCGCCTCTGAAGTACAATCAAATAAATCCAGTTTTTTAGGTGAATTATAAATCTTGATTTTGCGAATTCATTTTTTTATGATAACCTATATAAATTAAAATAAGGACTGTTAAACTTCAAATAAAGAAGCATGGGAATGTTTCAAGTAAATTTTTCCATAAAAAAAAAAACTGTGAAGACGTCATCCTGTTTTTATTTTAAGGGGGATAAAAAAATGAATTTTGATCAACAATTTTTTGTGGGTTTGCAAGATAATATAACAGGGTTCCAGCGATTTGCTATAGTAAAATTCCCTGACTTTTCCAGGTTTTCCAGTAATTTTCCCAGAAATGTCCAAATTGCATATTTCACTTGTCAGAAAATTACCCACTAATATTTGCTTTTTATACAGCAATTCCCTATGAGGCTTTGCATTTCTGGAATATGGTATTCTGACTGGTGGTACTTTGAAAACAACCAAATAGAATATAAGAGTGATAAAGAATCATCCAAGTTCTAGAAGACACATTGGAAATGAGACTAAGATAATAAAGAACAATCAGCTTAAGATAAGTAATATTTTTTAAGAAACTAATGATGTTAAATAAAAAATGCTTGAAATTTGGATTTTTGATGTTTTTGCTGAACGCAAATTAGCCTTCAACGCTATGGATCAGAGAGTTAATGGCTTGAAAAATATGTTGAAAGATGATCCAGTCATTCAAAATGTAAACATGACAAGAACAAAGGCCACAGCAATCACAAAATATATATGTAGTTGGACAAACGCAGGAAATTAAAAGCGTAAATGATTCCTCAAATTATATTTGTGTCAAGAATATGCATTTGGGTATTGATGTGACGAGATATTTAAATTCACATGAATAATTGAGTAATGAATAATTATAATTGGAATAGATGTGGGAGAAGTTTCTAATCGCTTTGTGCAATGAAATAAGAAGCATATTTCATTTTGAGGACCCAATACTACCACAGCACAGTGCTTTTAATCCCTTTGCGAAAACAATTCTTTACCAATTCTTTCTTTGAGTTCTTTCAAAATCTCCCTAAAATTGCTAATAATATGGATTTACAACATATTGATTCAAAATGTAGCTTATATTTGCAAGAAAAATGTAATTTTGCCTGAAGACAACAAATATTTTAGAGGTTGAAGAAGATGGTGAAAATGATGACAAAAAATACGTCTAGGAGCCCGGGGATTCAGCACAGTCGTTCGGTTTCCGACAATTTCTCTCACTTAGGAAAAAAATAAAAATAAAATTCAGATATCAAATTTATGCACAACCGAAAATTCTTCAGAACTTTTTCGAATTTTTCCTGACTATTTTATTTTCCCTGGCATTTCCAGGTTTTTCCGGTTTTCTAGGTCGCTGGGAACCCGGTATAAATATTTGTTATATTGTAAAATTCTGTTATACAATTTTTATTATTTTTTTTTATAACGTTAAAGTCACACGTTTAGAAATATGTTTCTTTATAAAATTTAAATTGCATTTACTTAAAAACTTGCAAAACTTTTGATGACATCATCAAATTGTTGGTGGAAATGATCACACAAATTTTGGTTAGTGTTTTACCATCTACAGCTATTCCTAAAATACATATAAAATTTCATATGAGACCAGGAATATAGGAGAATATCTTTTAATAAAATCGTCAACAGATAAATGGAAACGGAAGGACCATTTTTTCATATTTTAAAAAACTCGAGTAAACATGAAATTCGATCATCAAATGGACCCTATTACAGTAAATACTTCCATAGAAAGGAGAAAAACTGTATCAGACACAAAAGTTTTTGAAAAATGGTTTCCAACATACTTGTACATATTTTCATGTAGAAAAGAGCATTTAAACATTCAATTCCGCCATATTTAAAAATGGAGGTCTGGTATTTTGCAGCAATCTTTCTAGTTACCTTGTTTTAACTTCCATAAAAAGATGGACAGTGTTTTAAAGTAAAGTGCAACAAACTCGTTTTCAACAGAAAGATTACTTAGAAGACAAGTTCAAAAATGTTATAAAACATCGGTCTCCTACCTAAAAATGAGAAAGCTTGACAATTTAATCACTTTGCATAGAATTTTCAATTTTTATATGAATGGTAGAGCAAGATGATTAAAAAGTTTTGGGCAAAATTTCAAATCTTCGTCTTTAAAGATACTGGAGCTGGGCATTTTTAAAAATTATCGTTTTTCCAGAATCTAAATAAACAAAAATGAACAAATTGTAGCCCTCAATAAGTTCTATTAGAATACGTCAAACAATTTTTTCAAGATTCCATGCTACTTAAAAGCGCAATTTTCCGTCACTAGGCGCAACCTTTGTCTATTTACTTGTAAACTTCATTTATACGTATAAATTGTTCATCATACAGGGTTGCTAAAAAGTATGGAAGAAGTTGAATATTGTAGGAACAGTTAGTGGGATCTTCTTGAAATTTGGGCTATCCTTAAAAACACTCCAGTTCTCCTTTCTGTCATTTTTTTAAATTTTAAATTGCATTTGTTTTCAAATCAAGTCTTCAATTGTCAGTTTTTCAATAGAATTTTTTCTGACTTCAGACAGAACTGTAGCACATGCATAAATTCTAAAATAGAAATTGGTAGTCAGCAAACTTCTACATCTAGCTTTAAAAATATTTCAATAAAACACTAAAATGGCACTGTTAACAGAAACTGAACGAATAGAAATTTTGATAATTGTAGGTTAAGGCGACAGACGTCGAAGCAATATTGAAGTAGCAGCGCTTTTTAATGAAACTCATCCCAATCGAGAGAAAGTCTCTAGGTGGACGGTTTCAAAAACACTGCGCAGATTTAACGAAACTGGTAATGTTAGAAATCGTCAAAGAACCGGAAGAACAAAAAATGTTACAAATGACGAGAACTCTTTTAATATCATGTTAGATGTAACTGAAAATCCAAAAACTTCAGTGCAGCAATTGGCATTAAACCACAATATGAGTAGACTCATTTAAAAAAATACTCAAACGGGAAAAATATCCATAGAAAATTCATTTACTACAAGAATTGAGTGAAGATGACTTTGACGGCAGAATCGAATTTTGCAAAATAATGGCAGTCAGACTAAATCAGGATGGCAGCTTCATAAACCAATAATTAATATTCTCTGATGAGTATATTTTTTGTTTGAATGGGCATGTTAATCGCCATAACTTGTCCGATACAAATCCACACTGGATGGAGGAGATTCGTACACAGTACCCCCAAAAAACTAATGTTTGTTGTGGCATTAGTGGTAGCCACATTGTAGGTCCCTTTTTGATTAACGGAAATTTAACGTCTGACAAATACCTCCAACTTTTGCTACAAAGTATTATTCCTCGACTTAGACAAATATTTTCCAACTATGAAAAGCCAAATTTACCTCCATCTGGTTCCAACAAGATGGAGCACCACCTCACTTCGGACGTTAAGTACGACATTATTTGAATGCAACTTTTCCTGGAAGGTGGATAGGACGACGAAAGAATATTAAATGTGATTGCTGATATTCCTCCTAATATTTTTACAGTCATTTTAAACTTTGTACAACGTATTTACCAATGCCAGGAAGTTGATAGAAAACATTTCGAACATTTGTTGTAAAATTATTACTTTTTTTTTTAATATTAATTTGAACTTTCTTCAATAATGTAATTTTTTATTTAAATTTTTCAAAAAGCTTTCATAACAATGAAATGTATTGTTATTTCTAGAATATTTTGTAAATTATTTGGAAACAGTATTGAAATAATTTTTACAATGATTGGGCACTACTATAATTTTTTAATAAAGTGTCCTACTCTAGGTGGTAGTATTGTCAGGGCTAGCTACGATTTTCTGATTTTCAGTATTTTTATTTTGACAATTCATTTTACCATGTTGGGAAAAAATAAAGTAATGCATGCGTGACATTTCTGAATTCAAATTTGAAAAAGATACAGAAAATAGAACTCGAATATTCCTAGGGTTGGCCCAAATTTCAAAAAGATTCAACAAACCGTGCTCGCGATATTCAACTGCTTCCATACTTTTTAGCGACCTGTATAAGCTTAATGCTACGTGTCATACGTTGTCTAGATTCTAGAAGCTACAGATTTAAAATGTTTGAAAGATTACTTTTCAAAAGGGGAAGGAAACCATAGTGTCATACTGGAGCTGATTCTGTTACTTTAAACTATATTTATGTAAAAATTTGAGCAGAGTTTGCTAGTACTGAACCAAAAAAATAACTACTTTTTGAGTATTTTCAAAAAAAACGCACGATTGTATTGTACAGTTAAGTACTTAAGACCCGATAATCTGAATAAATCATTGTTCAATCTTACCTTTAGAACAATCCGGCGTCTCAGAATGTGTAGGTGTTGGTGGGCCTTCAACTACAGTTCCCGTATGATTAGTGTCTACACTTAGAGAAGTATGCACTGCACTATCCCCAGAAATAGTCTGCCTTTGCAAACCTATAGAACCATGTGAGTTTTTGTCAGAATTATCGGTAGGCGTAGTCTGTGACATAATCCGTGGTAAACTCGGTGGTCCAGGCGTGTTGGATATTGTGACCGTCGTCGGTACCGGCATCATAGACGGCGTGCTCTGCGGTGACGATTCCGGTCGTCCCGGCGTTGAGGGCATGTGAATGGGATGCGAAATTAATCGTGGCAAGGCGTTTGCCAACAGAACAGGTCCCAGAGTGTTTTGCTCGGCCACTTGCTGGCCAGAACTATTCCCGTACGAAATCTCCGACGTCGGCGTGCTGTCGCCCGGGGAGATGTCCATGTCTTGCGTCGCTTGCGCGTTCTCCTCGGGGTGCTTCCGCGAAGATCTGGAGTCTTTGCCGGGAACGTCGCTGTCGTCGCGACTGCTGCTGCTGCTCCAGTGCCGACTGCCTGTCGCGCTCTCTCGAGTCCCATCTTTGCTGCTGCTGCTATTCGCCGCCCGTGAGTTGGAATGTTTCTCGTGCCCTATGGAAGATACGCCAGAGGTTAATTCTTTTGTTTCGCTGCTGATGGATTTGGATAGGGTAACTTACGCGTACCGGAGCGGCTGTAGCACCGATCCGAGTCTCGATCTCGGTCTCGTTCTCGTTCTCTATTCCTAAATCGGTCCCTCTCACGTTCTATCCATTCCCTTGGTTTCTCCCATTGAGATACTTCGGTTTTGCAGTTGTAATAGTACTTTTTACCTGAAGAACTGACATGCTCTGACCAATCGCCCACTCTAGCAACTCTATCCCGATCATCCCTCTGAAATAAACAACAACGTGTATACACATTGCACTAGTTGTTATATTATAAGTTGAGGGAGTAAAATCGGCATAGGAGTAAGAAATTTAGTCACGGGACGAAGTGGAGGGTTATTATCAATTGAAAGGTGAAGAGGAAAAAAGAAATGCGATCTGGAACTATCGCATTATACAGATAACGTACCACTAAAATTCAAAACGCTATGAAGACGCTCAAGAGAAGTTGGTGAGCAATAGGATTTCAGTAAAAGTTTAGGCACAGAAAAGACAGAAAAACTCGGAGAACGCAGTAATTGCATGTTATAAAGCTTCCATGTTTTGGACAAAATATTCTCTACAGCGAGGGCTTGCAAAAAACATGTGGTAATACTTGTTGTCTTTATTTTAGTCCTGAAGGTATTAAGCTGACTTTTAACTCCTCAATCCTGCTATTTGTCTAGATTTCTAGACTAGACAAAGCATACTGTTGAAACTGAACAACCAGTGATGCTCAAAGATGTATCTGTGCACATTTCACATTCTTTCTCTTTAATTTTGCGTATTCACAGTCTTTGAACACACTTAACGAAATTATTTGTATTCTGTTACTTGAGTCAACCAATATGTATGATGGTCAAATCTTATAAGAAATTTCTCAAGTCATCATATGAAATAGGCTGCTTAGGAATGAGGTCATTTATTTTTCAGAAAGAGCCAAAAAATTGACTGATAACGAATTAATACCAACTGGATATTTTCAAACAATCAGCTGAGGGACTTATTACGGAAAACGATTAACAAAGTCCATGTTATGTAGTGACTTGTAAAAAGTTGAACTGTTGGATGACGTATAAGTTTTTATAGCAAAACAGTCTTATTGGATCTATGTACTTAGTAGTGTCATGTTGATATTTAAATGTCGTATTTTAATTAGTGAAAGGGAAATTGTCAGTAACAATTGCACTTTTGTATCATATCACTGGAATTTTATCACCCCTAAAAAAAGCATCAAAGGATCTTTCAATAACAAGAGATTAAAATGTTACAGCATATTTTCCGAAATACACCAAAACAAACTTATTTTTCACTCAACAATTAAAATACACGGTGTTTTATCGTTTATGGTAAGTTTCTAAGGTACAAATTGCCAATTTTCAGAAGCAATTCTAAGTACTCAACGGTGTCCAAATATTTTATGATTATGAATATGATACAAATATTACGATCGATTTAGTAATTTTAATAAAATCAGCAAACTTAAAAACAAGCTTTTGCATTGTTGCAATAAAATACCTAATGATCGAAAAAAAAACCCTCTAGTAGGCCGTGCAATTTATTGTTAAAATAAAAATGTTGGCATTGCAGCTATTTGACCCTTGATTTGACAGTATTGGGCCGTAACTGTCAAACTGAACAAGCAACGCGTTGCCAACATCGTTATTTTAAAAATAAATTGCACGGCCTACTGCAGGAGTTTTGTTGTCCGTATAATAGTTGTCCAGAAAAAGTTGGATCATCAAAATTCTGTTTGCTTGTAACAGTGATCTAATTGTAGTTTCTTATATTGGTCACAGTGAATTTCTGTGCGAAAAGGCAACGCTTTTAAATAAAATATATATTTGAACAATAGGACGTAGAGACTGTTCTTTCAGTTGTGTGGGGATCAAAATAACAAAAATTGATAGTTGTTAAAAATCTTCAAATCTATGACGAACATTAATCTTTAATTGTTGGGGCTCGTCAGCGCAAAAATATTTTCTAACAAGCGTTCACACGAATGTTATTAATTTGTTTAATAAAATATATGCATACTTCAATAATTACGTCGCTAATTGGCTATTAATGAATATTTAACCCCTCAAACAAACATTACAGACCCAAAGTATTCACTGATTATAAACTTCTTTTTGTACAAAGTTATTTTTTTTTAAACAAACATCCTACCTTGTCCACTGAATTATTATGCACTGGTTTCCTATCCCTCGATGACAAATTTTGTGACATCTTTATAGGATGCAAAATGCTCTTTTCATCATTTCGGTCATTATTGGTCCTGTGCTCAGATTCTCTGCTGCGTTTATCCTTTGGCGACCTGGCACAATCTGGAAAAAAAGTCATAAAAACAAGTCCACTTGGTCATAACACGTTACAATACCTGAATACTTGTCTCTTTTGTAGTCTCTATTTTCTCTCTCCTTTTCACGTATTTTCTGTAGGTAGGAGCTCTTCGACTGATAAGATCGATCGCGGTCTCTGGGTGATTGTGAGTCAGGACTGTCTGACCGATAATTACCATTTGGTGAATCCCTAATTCTTTCGTATCTTTCGCTGCTGGAGCCATAACTCTTCGATGAACTATACTTCGAGTTCTATCACAAAAAATGTAACTAAGAAGTGGAAAACGACGAAAAACGCTTCTGGTCGTGTACTAGTAGCGTTCGAAATTCACGTTTTACCGTAAACAGTTGAAAATGATAAAAATCTTGTAAATATAAATAAACTACCAAGTAGGTTAGGTTATATCTGCAAAAGGTAGCCATGTTTACTATTGTTTTGACAAACATTTTTTGATCTAATTTCGGTCCAAAAACGTTTGGGAAAGTCCGTTACGAGGCGAGAATTACATGAATTTAAAGCTGATGCGTGAATTACACCAAATAACGACCCACAAGGAGTAATTTTAAGGAATCTTTCAAATAAGTGTTCGAACATTGGCCACTAAAGTCAGCAATACAACACCCATTTCTGTTTTTGCACAGAATGCCGTTTTAGAACTTATCGCTTGTACAAAAACAATTTCATAAATATTGTTGATACAAATACGTCCCCCCAATACATTTTCAAAGTGTTTACCTGATAGGGATGGGCTTGGTGCTTCTCGAAGTACCTGGACATAAAAACACACAATATTAGTAACAACCAACGACCTTAAAGGCATGAAAACAATTTGCTTTTAACAAAATTCTTTTAATGCCTCTCAGGATGTCAGAAAGACACTAGTGCCTACCCATCGTTCATCCGTTGAGTTTTCCTTGCATGCATTACCATCAATGCAAGTCTCTATAAAATGTTTGTGGCTTTTAGAACAAGCCGACTTGTACATCAAATTCATAAAAACTATTAAAAACGCTTTGAACTGATCAAAATCTGACTTTCCTACCAGACGCCATGTCACATAAGGGAACAATTTGCAGCTGAAGGTAAATGCTCCTAATTTCTTCCGTTGTCTCATTGGTTGACGTAAGAAAATGTTGCCACTACCAACATTAAAATGTGTCAAAACACTAAGGTCACTTCATTTATCAAGAATTGCGCTATAAATAAGGAGAGATACCGTTTGTGCGACACACATTTTAAAAATAGATTTTAATTGTAGCTTCTACGATTAACAACCGCTTTAAATAACACGTACTAAACAATAAGTGCGAGTCGTAATTTTTAGCGATTTTTTTTCAATGTTGGCTGACATGAAGTAACTGGTCATTACTGATATTTACAAGAAAAAAATTTTAATGATGTTAAAACAATTCGGATTTCTTGGACAAACGTCAATTTTTAAAGTTTTTTCACTTGTGAAAAAAAATATTGTGATTACTGCAATCGGATACTAAGTGGCCATATTATTACGTTAAAATTCTACAGTGGCGTGCCTTCAAAGTCCTACTTGTAGGTTCTGGGTGAATGTGAGGAATTCGTTATATTTATCTGGATTAAAAAAAATAGACTTGCATCTTTTGGAAAGGTCATTATTTCAAGTAATGTTCTTCATGTGCCATTTCCTGGTGGTATACGCCGAAGTCGTTTGCAAAAGGTTTGCATTGAGTTTTCAATTTAGTCGATTTATATTTTTATTAATTTGGTTAATTTTTTGTAGGTCTCTCAATTATGTTTGCACAGATTTTAAGTGTTCAGTATGATTCATATCATCCAGACTATTCACTCACTCTGGTTAATTCTCTAAGAAGGTATTTAACGTAAATATTATTATTACTGTTTTACGTTTCATTTAGTTTTCAAAATATTAAGTAACCAGTTACAGTTTGTGATATTGTGCTTATGGTGTTCTCTTTTATTAATAGCTAATTAACATTTAATAAAAATTTAGAAATTTGCTTTGTTGACAAAATTTAAAGCTAGAAGAGAGGAATTTGAAATAGTAGAAGAGGAGCAAACAAGAAGGAAGTTTACCTAGAAGAATTTTGAAGACTTGAAAACTTTTTTTATTTTTTGAATTAAGTCATTTTTGATTTAGACTAAAAAATTGTCAAGTATTTAAATATTAGCAATATCAACTAATTAGTGGTCATGAAGTAGTACACATTTATCTTGCATGCTTACTAAGTAAAACTATGCCAAAGGAGAAGTCTGCATCCCTGAAGATAACCGAAGAAGTACTTCAGTGCCATACCAGTCATTGCGTCCTAGCTTTCGTCGCGTTTGTATAAACTTAGTAAATGTATTAACACACATGTTGTGTTAAGTTTGTTTTTTGATTTTGTTTAAGTGCAGTGTTTATTATTTCTCATTATTGCTACTGCCATTTAAACTTCCAACTGTTCTAGTTATATAAATTTAAAACTGGATCATGAAAAGAAAACGCCCGAATTTATCACGGACCTACAGCGAAGATTGTATTTTATTCATGAATACAATTGTCAAGTGGCTAAGGTTTAAATTCAACTAATATTATGAACAGTCTGTAACTAGGAACATTTCAGGTCACTCAAGAGTACCCACAGTCAAGACAGTTTGAATTGCTTCTGATTAAATATGTTGAGTTAGAGTATGATGCATTGTATAGTAGGAATCCGTACCCATCACAAGAGGTTGAAATAGCTGCAGAGTTACGAATTTTGCGACTATTACAAGTGATGTTGTATTCAGCCGTCCACAATAATGAGCCCTTAGTCAACAAACACACAGATAGAGCTGTAAAGAAAGCCGTATTACAACTTTTAGGTGAAGTAAAACCAACGTATTTAGTTAAAAATAAGCTCATTTGCAATATTGCGAAGTATGTCTCAGCCAAATGATGAAAATTTTTTCTGATTGTAATTGTTGCAGTAAATTGCTGAGAAGAATTCATGGAAATAGCAAGAAGTTCCATTATCAACAATCAGCAGTTAGGGAAATCCACAAAAACCTCGCAACTAGTGACTATGGAAGTGAAGATAGTGATTCAGATTTTGAAAGCAATGTAAGAATAATTAACTGAACGTCATTTAATGATAATAATTCTGCACGTCTGGTGGCTTTATTTGCTTTGTTGTACATTGTTGTGTAGTAAATTCCAGGTGTATTATTTCAGATTTTTTCTACAAAGTGGTTTACTGATGTTACATTAACTAATGCAAGTGAAACATCTACAACGTCAGATTGTGTAGAAGTTCCCTTAACAACAGATGGTCTTGCCCCTGTACCAACAATTGAATTTACAGATGATGATGATAACTATTTTGTCTATTTACAAAAACGAATACCTACAAAGAGAAAAATTCAAGATGACTGTAAAACTAGTCATAGAAAAAAGAATGTTAGTGAAATCGCAAGCAATAATATTAATAAAAATGCCTTAGCACACTTGCAAAATTTAAATTCTAAAGAAAACACCAAGTCAAATAAAAATTGCAAAAATGAATTAAATAAAGCTTCTGAGAAACCCAGAGATCATGACAGTGCGTGCGTTATTGTGTGTTCTGACTCAGAAGATGAAGTTTGTGAAGTGACCTTAAATGCTGAAACTTCCAAGAAAGCAAGCAATAACGCAAATAATGATAAAAAGGTCGGCATTGTAACTTTTGAAATCCTTGATGATGACGACGACGACGATCAAACAAATTATATGGTGTATTTACAAAAAGAAGTGGAAACAAAGAGGAAATCAAATCACTCAAAAGAAGCTACAGGAGAAATTATCATTTGCTCAGATACTGAAGATGAATCATCTGCAGAAAACGCAAAATGTGGTGCAATAAAGTGTTCAAAGGACAGTCCTAGTAGTGATATAAGTCTTCAGGAATCTTCCAAGAATAAGATAGTGCCTTTGACACAACCTGAACCTAAATGCATTTTGGAACAATCTGAGAGTAGTCTTCCCCAGAACTCTTCTACAAGTTCTTATGATCACTTGCAAGCGTTTCCTAAAGAAAACTTAAATAAAGTAACCAGTGTCGATTTTAAAACTAACTGTCCAAAGAAAAGTGTAAGCAATGGAAAAATTATACCGGATACACTGCAAGCATCCACTTCTAAAAGCGTAAACACCAACAGTGTTATTTTAAATGATGATCATGGAAGTCTCAATAAAAAGTTAAATACAAATTTTTTAGTGGACCCTGCCACCATATTTGAACAAATCAATGAAACACAACTGCAAAAGAATGACATATATTTTCAAAATAGCTCTGCTGCAAACCAGTTGCGTGAAATTTCAGTACCTCTGTCCACAGAAGCTGAATCAGAGGCAAATGTTCCAGGTTGATTTTTACCTTGTGTGTATAATATGTAAATACAATTGAGTTGTTTTAGGTGGGCCACTTATGAGCGAAAAGGTTGAAACTTTTGAAGATTTAGGCAACGCTTCAGAATGTCGCATCAATGAAAGTTTGTTGGAAGAAATTTTACTCGACGATACGTATTTATTAGAAGGTCGGAAAGAATTTGAAGAACTTGAATATTTTCTTTTTAATGATAACACAGATAGGCAAGGATTCTCTTTATCAAATTTTTCTTTTGATGATAGTGAAATGGTTCCACAACCAGAAACATTTGATGCTGATATTAAAAGTTTGGAATCATTTTTGGACGATTCCCAGTTAATCAGTGTGCCAGACCCTAAAGCAGGCAGTTCTTTGGACAGTTCTCATGATGATAATGGTTCTATAAAACAAGTAAATGGTAAAAAAGTGTGCAATACGTTATATAAGGAAAACTGTGAATGCAAAGCAAAAAAATCTAGGTGTAGCCATAAAAATTATTTGAAAACAGTGTTGAAGCATACCAAGGAAATTAATCGGTGACAAACACTTTCATATACAAGTAGAAGACGTAAGGTTAAGCAATTATTGATTTTGGCAAGTGATATAACATGGATGTTACATACTGAGTGTGTGATGCAACTAAAACAAAATTGTTGAAATCGAGCTGCGATATTTTTTTTATCATGATCTTTAGGAATATTTATATTCAAAAGACGTAATATTTTTATAACATTTTATTTCTAGTTATTTATACACAATTTTACTTGTGCAGCTTTATAATTTTTGTATTATATGTATCTTCGACAAAATAAAAAGATGAATTTAGACTTGATTTTTTAAAACGTGTGTAGGAAGTGGATTACATTGACTAGTGAGTTAGGTTGTTCAAATGATCCAGTGAATTATTTAATTTAGCGCGAAAATTTAAAATTTCAGTTATTTTTGTAGTGATATTTCTCTGTTGGCGGTTGGTACTGTGTAATAATAATCACTTACTGTCATACCCGCCGTCGCCCCCTCTGCTCATTTACAACAAAAACATCAACTCTGGATAAGCTAGAGGCAACATTTATTGTGAATTTTGTGTTATAACAATGATTATTTAATGTTATACTTTATTTATAAATCAATATACAATTTGTAAGTATTGCAGTAACATTGCCACATTTAACGAAAGTCATGCAACCACTGCTACTCGTAGTAGATCACGTTATTTGGTTAGCTGACCCTGGAATTTCCCTGGGCTTTTTGAAAATTGATTTATTAAAATATTAATCACATTTTATTACCTGTAATTGATATATGGCTCTTTGTTCATTTTTAGCGAACCATGTCTGCATATTTCAACACACAAAAACAGCAGGGCTTCAAAGACTTTCTTCCCCAACAAAGTGGAAAAGGTATAGATATGTAGAACTTTATTTTAGATTTAATACATTACAGCTACAAATACTATGTTCCTAAGTGTATATGAGTGAAAATGTGACCCCCGAAGCTAATATTAATCATACAACAAGGGTGCTGTGATAATTGTTGGAACTAAAAAATTGAGATCTCTTATCATAAACAACAATGTAACAATTGTTTAATCATCACAGATATAACTTGTGAGAATCAAAAACCCATTTTTAAGCAGTGTAATTAGTGACGTCTCCAATGAAAAACATGTCGTAACTAAATACAAGTAAAATTCTTACCTTTAGAAGCTCAAAACGTGGTAAGGTGTCCTCACTATAATTTTTGTGTTCACTGCTCGTTTTTTAACGTATTCTTTGTATTTAACTTAATTTTAAGCCTGATTTATTTGATGAGCACAAAATTAATTTTTCAATTACAAATAATGTTTTTAAACAGCCAATGTTCGTACGTTATTAAGCAAAAAATGTTTCTACCATATAATCGGGAAAAAAGTGTTCTAGCAACCTTTGAAATTTAATGTTAAAAAGAATATGTTGGCAACACCAACGCGTGCCTTATCAGTGCGTCATTTATGATCAAATAACCCTCAAATAAAGTGTCAAACAACGGCACTGCCAACATTATTATTTTAAAAATAAATTTGAAGCCTTACTATTATACGATTTTTTCAACTATGCGTGTCTAAAATATAAATGATTGTGATATCAAGGGCGACTTTGAAATCTCAAAAAATGGGTCTGTCTGTAAAATAATTAACAATTCCAGAGCCACCCTTGTTTCCAGAATCATTTATGGACACATTGTCAACAGTGAGATGGTATTTACAATTTTTCGTCACTAAAAGATGCCTTAAAAACATTTGCACGGCCATAGGAATTGAAAAATTTGCAAATCACTTGGATTTATTCATGTATGACTTATTTTAAATAATTTAAAAAAAAATTCAGCACCATCTGTTGAAAATTTTAAAAGATGATCTGACGAGGGGGCCGAGTTGTAAACCAAATTGCGAGTGCCGCCACTAATCATCGCTACTTTATGATCACACCTTATAAGGATACTTCGTCAGAAATAACGGAATAAAACATCGTTTTCATGAAAGTGTATTTTTATATATGTACATAGTAGATACATAAATTTTGCTTTTATGTACGTAGTATTTAAATATTCACTGAAATATGTATTTACATTTTTTAGTAGTTGCGTAACAGTCTTGGCAGAGGCTTGTTACTTGTGAATGTTTTGTTTTAATAACTTAAATAAATAATAAACTCTTATTCATAGGTTGGTTTTACGATAAATAGTTTACTGTATGCTTTTTGGTGGTTTTTATAAATTAAATAAGCACAAAATATACAATCAAAAATGTGTATTAATACATAAATCAAAATAATTGGCTGTTAAAATATGTAGGTATATGTGTAATAATACGCGTTTCAATGAAATTAACATAAGCATAGTCAGTCATATTTTAGCAAACTCACACTTTAAATAAACTGACGCAGAGGTCATTGAAATTTACATTAAATTAATGTGTTTGTATGCACGTCTATTACCACGTTTTATCCATTTCCCATTTATTGCAGGTCGTATCTGTGGCATTTCTTCAATTTCAAGACAGTTAATCAAAGCACATTACGATGGCTATCATCCGCGCATGTCACGACAATTGGCGACAGCTCTTAAAAGGTAGTTTTTAATAAGTTATAATTTTAAATTGAAAAACCCGAAAATTTTTGAAGAATTTTTGGGAAGAAAGTTGTTCGCAGTTAGAAATGATTTAGAAGAAAGTTTTTCTTTATAATTTAAATAAAAAAAAAAACGAAAAGAGATCACTTGAAGATTTTTCGATTTTCTTACATTCAGTAATTTAATTGCTCGTTTTTTTTAAATATTTTTTTATGCGTTTTGTCATAAATAAATCGGGATAATCGAAGAATGAAGATAATTGATTGGAAGCCTCCATCTATGAAAAGTGAAGAATGTCGAAGAAACAAGATTTTCTGTCTTCAATTGTTTAAAGTAAATTTAATTATTTGCAATGGACTAATTAATTTTTAATGTTTTCAAACTTTGCTCCAAGCCTGAAATTAACTATTCAATTTAAACTTCACTTTTTATTTATTTATTTGTTATTACACGTAATTTTATGCTACATTATTCCTACTTAAAAGTCACTTTCTGGATTGCTATAAGTTAAATCAAGATCACTGAAGAACGAAGAGAATTAAATCGAAGCCCGCAGGAAGAAGATTGAAGAAACAAGATATTCTGCTGTCATTTGTTTAAAGTTTTTAAATTTAATTAAATTACCAGAATGAATGCAGTTACGACGAAATTTACAACTAACAAGAGTGAAGAAAGAAGATTTTCGCTCGTCGTTTGTTTAAATTTGAATTTTTCGGTAGCTAAATTGTAAAATTTAGCTCGAAAGATTAAAATTAATGATTGAGTTTTAATTTTTCTTTTTGTTTGTCTTTAATCAAATGTAATATTTAAATACGTTTTTGATGTAATATTAAAAAAAAATGGTCAACTTCCTCGTGCAACGTCGGCCGTTTTTTACGGAGGTAATTATTACAGCAAATGTAACTAATAAGTAATCATATGTTTTTTTGTTTACTAAAATTTTACGTTATTAATATGTATTTGGAATGATTTACAGATACATCAATACTAGACCGAAATATGAAAGAAGAACGGTACAGTTTATTGAAGAAGTTAGGAGAAAAATACTATGCTTACATGAGTATAATTTACAAATTGCCAAGGTACGTACATAACGTTTAAATGAATCAGTATAATGTCGTATCTTCGTACTAGGTGAAATTTAAATATCCAAGATCAGAGCAATTCGACGTTGTATTAATGCAGTATATAGAATTAGAGTGTGGTCTTTTATATGATACATATAGCGACGTTGATAAGGAGCTTGAAAATCAGGTTACCCAAAGAGTGTTACGGTTACTGCGAGTTATATTGCACGATGCCCTTCAAAATACCGAAATCTCGTTAAAAAGAACCATTCAAGCATGTGATAAAGCCCTTCTTAAACTTTTTGTAAACGTACGTGCCGACTTTGTATCTGAAAATAAACTCGTAGCCAGCACGATTACGTAAGTATCAATGCACTAAATGCACAAATACGCTAACAATTTCGTTTGATATAGGAAACTTTTACACAAGTTGAGTGTGCTTGAAGATGTTAATAAGCTGAAAGGAAAAAATATTGCTTTTCAAGAAGACACATTTTTAAGAAATCCGCTTGTATGTTCAATTAGGCAAAATTTGGCCACCAGTGATTATGAGTCAGACGTGGATGAAGAAGATGACGATGACTTGGTAAGAAACGTTGAATTTACTGCCGTCTTTAACTAAAACGTGTTTGTATTTTTACAGATGCCAATGTTCAGTGAATCTCTCGGAAACTCTGCGCCGAGTCCACAAGGTCTTTTTTCACATTTAGAAGAAAAGGTTAACGTCATGCGGACGACCAACAACTTCGACAACTTGTTTACGTTTGGACCGAAAGAGAGTACATTGTCTTCTTCATTTTTCATGCAAAAAATGCAAAAAGACACTTCGTACTATAATAGCCAAAGGCTTAGAGAGAGTGAGAAAAACCTTAGAAACTCAGAGTATTCTATTGATCATCGCTCAACAGAAAATAGGTTGTTTGGGATGTCAGACAAAACGTTTCAAAATCAAGCAAACAGTTTACGAGAAAACTCTGTAACACTATTGCATGCCGACGGTGAAGCCAACACACGAAGCAAAAATAACCCTCTAGTGACATCGAGTGACGCATATTTTTTACAACACCCACATATTAATAATCAACTCAATAAACCCAACGTGCCATCAAGTTTTTTTACAAAGCAAAGTAGTAATAACGATGAAAATTTTTTTCATCTGGGTGACGGTGTGACGTCGAAAGAGTCGACCAAACAAAGTCGTTTTTCAAAAAGTGATATTGAAAAAGATTTTGCACAACTTAATGGGAGCCAAGCTAGAAGCAATGAAAAGAGTATTGACAATGATGACAATCTTTCCAGAGAAACGCACAATGTAGAAAAAGTTGGGTCCTCTATTATGGTTGGAAATGCCCAACGAAAACAGGATGAAGTTGTTGCACCCAGTACTCAAGAATTTGTACCAACTCAAACATCACCTTCGCACGATCGCTTTGACCCTACTGCCACTAATACGCATAGAGACGAGAATCCCGTAATTTCGCGAGCAGAAGATTGTGAAATAATCGAGATAGACGAAGATTCTTCCGACGTGCAAACATTTTCCAAGGACATTGTATGTAATATAAAGTCTGAAGTGCCTACTTTTTCAAGTGCCGGTGATGAATTTTGTGACGTAAATGCTGCCTCTGATATTTTCACACTCAGTGCAGACCGTTTTCAAAACAATTCGTTCAACAATAAGTCGCAACCGACGGAAAGTGTAAACGGTGGCATAATAACAATAGAAATTCTCGATGACGACGAAGATGATGATTACAATGGAATGAATTCACATGTAGTCGGAGCTTCTTCGTATAATCTCCTACAATCTAATGAAATCAAACAAGAAGAAAATGAAGAAAATCGTTCTCCGAATTTTTCCATTCCGAGTTCTGATAATGACGATCAAAATTTTTGGAGCTCGGGAAAAAGTGCGAGAAACTCCAGTTCAAATGAAGTGAGTAAACTTGGGAAAGGAAATAAAGATTCCCCTAGAGACGCGGATGCGTCAGCTGTTGTTGTTTCCGACTCTGAAGATGAACTGCTGGTTCGTTCATCAACTTGTAATGAGGAAACAGAGGAATCAGTCAATAGAGATACCTCTAGAGATGATGTTCACTTGGAACATGAAACGAATGAAGACGTGGGGGTAAAGCCTGTGTCATCTGTAGAAAGAGAAGAAGAAGAAACGCTTAGTAAAGACCGAGTTACAGAAGAATCAGACTTCTATCATCATGAAGTAGAACAGGAACAATTGGTAGAACCAATTGGAACAGAATCCGTAACGCTGGGTAAAACTGTCTACGAGAACGAAGTTTCAAATGAAGGAAATGTTGAAAGTGGCAACGAAACCTCCGTTCAAGAAGCAAATGAAGAAGTTCAAGAATACCATTTGGCTGAAATTATTAATGCATCAGAATGTTCTTTAGTCAATAGTAGAATAGAAGAAGATAATGCTTCTCAGTCTTCTGCTACAGAAGAACATATAACTGACGAGGCACAATTAACAATTGCCGTTAACAGTGAAATAGTATTTTCTGAAGTCGTAGCAGAAGAAATAGAGAATAGTAATAAAGAAGATCTAAGTTATTTAGAGAAACCTACAAGCATGGACGAAAACCAAATCTTGATCGCTGCAGCCCCAACTATGCAAATCGAAGAAAGGGAGGCAGACACAATAGAAACTAATGTAACGGTAGAGCCTACGATCAGTGACCATTTAGTGGTTAGTGATGTAGAATTGGATAAAAGAATAGAGTGCGAATCTACATCTACCATTGAGCATGTATTTAATGAAACAACCGAAATAATAGAATTTCGAGAATTTGAGATGCATGAACCATTAGAAATTGTCAATTGTGAGACTTCAGTTGCATCTGAATCTTCTGTTGCTGTAGAAGTTGACCCACCACCAATTTCTGAAATGAAAGAATCTCTTGAAATATTTGAAGCTCCCAAGATATGCGAGAATGAAATTACTCATGCTTCAGAAATTACGGTTCTACAAGAATCCCAAGAGGACAGATTAGAAATTGAAAATATTCAAGAACAGGTAACCATAGATGATGACAGAGAAAATGTCTTTCCTGTTGGTGAATCTAACGAATCAGAAATTTCTGTCACAGATCAAGTACAGATGGAAATTATCGAAAAAGAAGAATTAAATGTAAACTGTACAGTTGTAAGTGAGAACGAGACAGAGGAGTCAAGAATTAGTAACTCTAATCAAAATCAAATACACTTCATTGAAAAAACAAATTCCGAGGAAATATGTAAATCTCCAGAAACCATTCATAGTGAAATTACTTATGCAGTATCAGAATCGGTAGTTGAAATGGAAAGTGATCATATTGTTGAATTCAGTACGCTTGAGTTTTCTAAACCTGTTGAGAATGAAGCAGTAACGTACCTTGAAGAAAATAATTGCACTTCAGAAGCACTCATATACGAGCCTGTAGTAGAAAATAATACTGAATCAATTCAAGAAGTACCAAAATTATCTGAACCTGAGGGCACTCTTTTAGCTAGTACTGATTGCAATATTCAAGAAGAAGCTCTAAATCCAGACCTAGGTTACTGTGTCATAGAGAAAACATACGAAAATCAAGTAGAACCAGTTGAAACAAGTGTCGATAGCACTGTTAAAGAAACAAAAGAATCCTCTGCCTCTGAAAATATTGAGACTGTAGAAGAAGTAAAGCAATCTTCAGTAACTGAAAGTACTGTAGAACAAATCAAAGAAAACGTTGAGACTATTGAAGAAATAGAGGACTCTTCTATCCCTGAAACTGTTGACACTGTAGACGAGATCAAAGAGTCCCCTGTTGCTGAAAATATTGACGATGTAGACAAAATTAAGAAGTCTACTGTTAGTGAAAATCTAAACTGCGTTCAAGAGTCTGGTGAACTACAAGAAAATTTACAGTCAAATGTAGTTCAAGAAAACGAGTGTATACAAGAAGTGACATACGAAGCTATAGATTATTCTGTGAATGCTCAATATCCACCACAACCTTCTGATAACATGACGTATATTAATCAACCACCACACGAAGACAACCATTATCAACACGTACCGATCTACAATGTAGACCAACAGCATCAAGGTCTAATTAACCTACAAACATCCAATAACCAATCAACTATGCTCCCTACCCAGACTACGGAAACACCTCTTTCGCAAAAGGTAGAAGATAAAAACCCTCACTTATCGTTGTATAGTCTCCCCCCCACTCTAACCGAAGTTGAGTATAATGAATATAACGTTGAGAAAAAAGTAGGAGGTGACTTAGAATTACTGGCGAACATCGCCGCTGATCAAGAAACACTAGCAGTAAAAACTGATAGTGAAAAAGAAGTTGTTGACACAGCAAGTGAGGCAGAGAGTCATACAAAATTAAATTCCTTGCAAACTACACCCAGACGAAGAAAATCGAAAGTCAAATTCGAAAGTAAGAAGAAAACTCTTGCTAGAGAAACTTTACCGCGCGCTGTGAAAGGACCTCAACGAAGAAATCTTCCAAAACAACCCAACGAAGAAACGGAAAATAAACGGATAACCCGAAACATGGGTATTAAATCGAAAATCGAGGTAAATGTTTTGAAGGAAGTACTGAAGCAGTCAAGGACCAATCGAAACGACGACTCTAAGTATAAACCCCACGATTTTATTTCACTAGAGAATTCGATTTTACCTCCGCGGACAAACAACGTTTATGCTCAAAAACGTCTAATCGAAGCTAATACTACAAGCGAAGACAGTAACGATAGTTGCGAAAGTACTTTGTTTATTGATTTGGGAGAGAGTCAGAAGCACTCTGAGAAAGCAGTAAAGTCGATATTCGACGAAGATACGATATATGACTTATTGGAATTTATCACCACTGAAGATAAAACTACTGTTTGTATTAGCATACCCGAAAACGATGAAAATTGCACCACTGATAGTTTTCACATTTTGAAACAGATGGAGGATTTCGTTGATAATAATAAAAAGGACAATACTGAAAGTGTTCCAAAAGTGGAAGTAGACGTTGAGGAACCAAATAAAGTGTCACCTCAAACACATGAAGAGTCGAACCTGAAAGTTGACCAGGATTCAAAAAATGCAGCAGAAGACCCGATTTTGGAAAATTCGTTATCCAAACAAAGTTCGGACGAGACGAAACTGGTGAAAACAACAGACCATAGTATTGAAAATATTTTGAACAAGGCACCATGTAACAGCGAAGTAAAAGTCTCTTTACATAGTTACCGCAGTGAAATAGAGTTGCAAGATGGTGTCGTTACGGTATGTACTGTCGAAAAGGAACAGCCATGCCAGAAACCGCTCATTCAATCGGAGGAAAAGAATGGCAAGTCGAACGCTTTTAAAGTTAAAAAGGTCAGTCAAAATAATAATATTCCAGTAGAAGTCGCTGCACCTCAGTCTCGCAAACTCGACGACAAAAAAGCTAGCGAAATTACAAATACTAAAACGAAGAAACGTAAAAAAGAAACTCACATTGAAGTAACACCACAGGACTTCACTATTGACAAACCTGTTACATGTTCAGCAATAAATGATGATACTAGCGAAAAAATTTTCAAAACTAAAGCTGCCGTGAAGGCATATGAAGACAAATTACAACCGAACGTGCCAATAGTTTTACAAACCTTGGAATTAAAAAAAGTAGAACCCCAGGAAGAGTATGGAATGCGCACCAGATTACGTTCGAAGAGTACAGAGGTTCAAAAGTTTGCTCGTTTTGACAGAAGTCGGTCTTCAAGTGTAGACTTCAATGCATTGTCTACTTCTTCAGAATCTTGTCACAACCACTCTACTGATTCTTCTGGATTTGACGAATCACGTGAATCTAATGACAGTGTTGAAGTTGCTACTAGTACTATTTCTGTCGTCAATAAGCAAGTAACTACCATTCTAGAACCTCAAGAAAAAAATAGTTTATCCAATCATGTTGACGAAAAGGAAAGTTCGCTAAGCAAGACAGAAATAGCAATTGAGGTTAACGCTCCAATTGTTGTACCAAGCATTTCGTTAGAACTTCCGCTTGAAAAAGACAACTTACCAGGTGACGACGCGCCTACAGTTCAGCCAATTATTCCGCCTTCAAAAGAAACAAATGAAGAGCAAAATGTCATAAATAAAGCGGAATTATTGGTTACTGACGTTACTTCTTGTGTTCACTCAGACATCGCACCCAAGCCTGTAGATGATCAGGAAAATTCACCCAATAAAACTGAATTGTTAGGCGGTGATGACATCTCTGTTCTTAAGTCAGGTCATGCTGAAAAGGAAAGTTCATCAAACGAGATTGAATTAACAGTTAGCAATGATGTGTCGGTTCTTACATCAAGTATTTCCTCAAAAGAACATTTATTAAGTCAGGTGGAATTGCCAGTTGCAAATGATACTTTAATACTTGACGAAAAGAAAAATATATCAGGCAAGTTAGATTCGGCAGTAAACAAAGTTTCGGTGGACACTGTCGAAATAGAGAGCGTGGAAAAAATACCTAATGAGCCACAAAATGAGAACCATTCGATTGGTATTAAAATGAAAGCTAGTGTTTCCTCGGTTGAAGCTGTAGGCGTCAATGACCATCCAGAAGTTCTTAGTGTTCCATCGATTGAAGATGCGGGTGTCAATGACCATCCAGTAGTCTCTAGTGTTTCATCGATTGAAAATGCGGCCGTCAATGACCATCCAGTAGTCGCTAGTGTTTCATCGGTTGAAGATGCGGGCGTCAATGACCATCGAGTAGTCGCTAGTGTTTCATCGGTTGAAGATGCGGGCGTCAATGACCATCCAGTAGTCGCTAGTGTTTCATCGGTTGAAGATGCGGGCGTCAATGACCATCCAGTAGTCGCTAGTGTTTCATCGATTGAAGATGCGGGCGTCAATGACCATCCAGTAGCCGCTAGTGTTTCATCGGTTGAAAATGCAGCCGCCAATGATCATCCAATAATTCCTAGTGTTTCAACGGTTGAAAATGTGGAAGTCAATGATCATCCAGTGGTCCCTAGTGTTTCATTGATTGAAAATGCAGACGCCGATGATCACCCAGTAGTCCATAGTGTTTCATCGGTCGAAAATGTAAGCGTTCCGCTTAAAGCTGACGAGGATAAGTTGATGCCATCAATCGGTATTGTGGAAATCACAGTTACCACAGAATCTGAGCCTTCTGTTAAAGATCAAGAAGTAACACAAGTAACAAAAGATACTCGGCCAAACAAAAAATCTACTGTGCCAGCGAAAAGTTTAACTCCGAAAAAAAATATAGACAGAAGTCCGCCCAAGTCGAAGACATTGGATGGAGTAAAGGGGCGATCATTAGAAAACACTATCAAGAAAATGAAAGAAAAAATCCAGGAATCGGAAAAGGCGAAGCAAGAGTTCTCAATACAGATACCAACGGTCATCGGCAATCTAGATGTGGTTGAAAAAACTTCTGAGGAAAGTAGTTTGTCTCAGTCGAATGAAATACAAGATTTAACATCGAAAGAAAAGATTTTTAAAAGTGAGGCGCTGGAGAGATCGAAGAAGTCTGAACTAGTTTTGCCTTCTCAGGATATGGAAAAAACGAATTCTTTACCAGAGAGTAATCAACAAAAAACGGATGAAATACAAACGTCTAAAGATAAAAGTGATGTTGAAAAAAAATCGCAAAAGAAGTCAACTTCTGAAGAGCCGAAGCAAAAGTCTTTAGAAATAAGTAGAAACGACACGAAGAGAAAACGAAGCAGATCTCGTTCTAAATCCCGAATGTTTGATAAAAAATCAGACTCTGGAACAGACAAACAAAGATCTTCCCATAAATCAAGTCGCAGTAGATCGTCATCAAAACCACGATCTTTGGACAAAAGGAGTAAGCATCATAGCGACAGCGAAACTGACAGAAAGCGACGCAGCAAATCGAAATCACTTGATAAAGATAAAAACCAGGAGGATCCTAATGGACACAAGAAAAGACGCAGCAGGTCGCCATCAAAATCCAAAACTTCAGATGGAAAATCAAAACACGGTTCATCCGAAAGAACTTCTTCAAAACATCGAAGTTCTGACTCAAAGGAGAGATCAGGTCACAGTGAAGACAAGAAAGATCACCATAAGAAAAGAAGCAGTAAATCACCGCCAAAATCCAAACCACTCGATAATAAAGAGAAAAGAAAGAACGACGAAAAAGAAAAAAGTAAACCTAAAAACGACGAACCAAAGAGTAAATCAGAGTTGAGTCGCTCTGAAAATAAGAGTAAAGTAAAAACAAATGAAACGAATGATAGGTTGAAAACAAACACGGGTGAAGTCGGTAAAGAAACGACGAATACGAGTGAAACCATCCACAAAGTCGAACATAAGTCGAGCAAAAACAAACCTAAAACGCAATCTAAATCGCAAGAACGTAACTCGAAAAAAGTTGATAATGGTGTAAAAGTAGAAGATAAGACCGAAAAGAGTAAGTCGCAAAATTCGGTCATAACTGGTGATGGCGCCCAAAAAGTGAACGAAAAAGATAAACACCGAGACGCCGATCGCACAAAATCGAAGGAAAAGGCTCAAGAAACACAGACTAAACCAGTGCACGATGACAAGCATGATTCCCAGAAAAAAGATGACCATTCTAAAAATTCCAATAAATCACGTCGCAGTCACTCTACAGAAAAAATCAGTTCGCCGATGCCTGATGAGAAGCCCGATGTCCAGAAAAAAGATGAACATTCTAAAAATTCCGATAAATCGCGTCGGAGTCATTCTAAAGAAAAAATTAGTTCACCGGTACAGGATGAGAAGTTCGATTTCCAGAAAAAAGATGACCATTCTAAAAATTCCGATAAATCGGGTCGCAGTCACTGTAAAGAAAAAATCAGTTCACCGATGCCTGATGAGAAGCCCGATGTCCAGAAAAAAGATGAACATTCTAAAAGTTCCGATAAATCGGGTCGCAGTCACTCTAAAGAAAAAATCAGTTCACCGACGCCTGATGAGAAGCCCGAAGTCCAGAAAAAAGATGAACATTCAAAAAATTCCGATAAATCGCGTCGGAGTCATTCTAAAGAAAAAATTAGTTCACCGGTACAGGATGAGAAGTTCGATTTCCAGAAAAAAGATGACCATTCTAAAAATTCCGATAAATCGGGTCGCAGCTATTCTAAAGAAAAAATCAGTTCACCGATGCCTGATGAGAAGCCCGATGTCCAGAACAAAGATGAACATTCTAAAAATTCCGATAAATCGCGTCGCAGTCACTCTAAAGAAAAAATCAGTTCACCGACGCCTGATGAGAAGCCCGAAGTCCAGAAAAAAGATGAACATTCTAAAATTTCCGATAAATCACATCGGAGTCATTCTAAAGAAAAAATTAGTTCACCGGTACAGGATGAGAAGTTCGATTTTCAGAAAAAAGATGACCATTCTAAAAATTCCGATAAATCGGGTGGCAGCCATTCTAAAGAGAAAATTAGTTCACCAACACCTGATGAGAAGCACGATCCCCAGAAAAAGGATGACCATCCTAAAAATTCTGATAAATCACGTCGCAGCCATTCTAAAGAGAAAATTAGTTCACGGACCGACAAACGGGACAAAGGTTCTCGAGAAAGGCACAAGGAAGACAAGAAATCGTGTTCTGGGGATACCAAGGAATCTGAGAGTAAGCGCAAAGTAAAGGAAAACGAGAAAATTGTGGCAGACGAACATAAGCAGAAGAATGAAGAGAGTGAAAAAAAATCGACTAATCAAAATGATCGTCTAGTCGTAGATGACGGCAAAAGCAAGCAAGAAATAACTGATCCCAATGCTACCAACGTTTTAAATCATGAGAATGAGGCTTCCATTGTGGACGACAGCAAACAGGAACAAGCGAAAGGTGGTGAAATTGAAGTTACTTCTACTATACCCATCGACAAAGGTCCAACAAGAATTGCGATAGTTGAGATTCCAAAAAAAAGAAAGTATAAACTATATGAAGAAAACGGCAATTTTGTGGTTCAAGAAAAAAGCCCCGATGGTGCATCAGAAGCGAAAATTGCGAAAAAAGATGAAATTTTGGTAGTAAAGTCTGAAGTGGCTATTGTTATTGAAGAAAAGTCGACAGAACTTACCACACATAAAACTGTAGTGGAAGTTGCACCTGCTTCAGGCGTTAACATTGTGGAAGAATCAAAAATCCATATTGAAGAAATTAGAAAAGCTTCGTCTCCAAAGATAGTAGAAGATAAAGCACCGTCTGAGCCTCTGAAAAATTCTTTAGATATTTCAACAACAGATATTTCGTATGAAAGTTTTGCTAGTGGGATTAAAACTAATTCAGTTGCCATGCAATTGGAAGATGGCAAAACAAGCACAGTTCCACTAACAGAAAGAAAAGAAGACAAAGACGATACTTCAAGTGTTCCCAAAACTCCTGAAGAAATACTTACCAAGGATTTGCCTCCTCTTCTACACACCAAAGAAAAAGATTCAGTTCAAAGTGTTGACGAACCTGTTGCAGACATACCTAAAGTTATCCCAGCTGTTGTACCACCTGTGGATACAAACTCTTTGGAAGTGCAGGGTGTTAATGAACCTCTTGCTGAAGTACCAGCACTTGACAAAGATTTGCCTGGCGTCACTTCCACTGAAGAAATAATTTCCAGTGAAGTGCAAATTTGCGCCAATAAAACAGAAGAAATCGATTTATCACAACTACAGCATAAAGAGAAGCCTCAGTGTCCATCCCCTGTCAAGCTTCTTTTACAAAATGAGGTCCCATTACCTGTTGCTGAGCCTGTACTCGTCAATCCTGTCTTCAGCTCGTCACAGAGCATTGACGTACGGGCTTTAACAACGCCAATAAACTCAACTGTCAAACATCTACCCAGACCAGAAGCCCATTTATGTCTCATATCTAGTGTATCGTCATCGGTGTCAACAGATTGTATTACGACTACAGCAGTTTCCATGTCGTGTGGGGTAGTAGCAGCGTCAGCTTTACATACTGCTTCAGCCAACAGTGTACAACAGAAAACTTGTTTGTTTTCTTTTAACGAAGATGCAGAGACAGTTAACCGAGAAAATTTAAACAGTACTGATATCTTTCATACACCTATTGAGTTGGATGATATTTCGCCGACCAAACTACCTTTAGCTAGTAATCAGTCGTTGGACTTTATTTCACCATCTACATCTATTGCAGAAATAAGCAATTCAATGAATTTAGTTCAGACTTTGGGATCGTCCACGGTTAATTTTATTCCGGATACGTCGGAAATTGATATTCAGCAAGCAACTAAACCGAATTCGTTTGGTCCAAACTTTGTGACCCGAGTTACAGAAATTAGTTGCTTTGTGGATAAAGAATCAACTGCAGATCATAATTATACATTAGGAGATCCGTTGCTGGGTGGTAACAACGAAGATAAGAATATCCTTACAACTGGATTATCTTTAAGTAACTCTCCAGAAGAGTTTCAACTGAATGAGAGTCACTTGGACGATCTTTCCTTTAACGAGAATAATTTTATTGAGGAAAATGGTACTTTGGAAGAGTTAGCTTTGTTTTTACCCTGCAAGAAAGAAAAACCTGATTTTGTTTGCGATCCTATAATCGATGAACCTATACCAAAGCCGGAAGATATACAGAATAGTATAAAACGTTTGAATATGTTGGTGGATATTTCGCAAAGTGGCCAGCAGAAGGTGATTTCTGTAGATAATACAATAGAACATATTAGCCCAACAGATTGTACTGTTGGTCTTGGTATTGATTACGCTGTTAACAAGTTGCTATTTTTGGGGGGTGGTGAGGTAACGTCACAGAACAGTACCTTTTCGACTATACCAGATCTTGACAATATGGCCATAATGGAATCTAGTGTTCTTCCAAAACAAACTTTGGAAGATCCACCTGTTGACACTAGCAGTGACGAACCAAATATTCTGGTACCTGTTTGTAGTCATTACTCCACTTTTCTACCAGGTGAAAATCAAAAAGTTGTAGTGGAACCTGTAGAGCAATATTCTATAACATCAGTCGATCAATTAAAGAAAGAATATATGAATGACACATGCAAAACTGAAGAAAAAGTTAAACCTGTGGTTAAACCAGACCGAGAAACACCTGTTAAAACTCAACCAACGTTCAGACCTAGTAAATTTGCTACATTCCTAGAATCGTTAAAAAAGGGCGCGAATAAAACCGAGAATACTAAAGTTAAAGATGATATGGAAAACTACACCGTCCGAAGACACAACAGAACACCGGTGTATCCACCAAAGCAGAAATCTATTTTACAGCACCAACGTACGTTGACAAAACCTCATTCTAAAAAGAATGAGGTTTTGTCTAAAAAGAATGAGGTTTTGTCGTTCGAAACCAATACAAGCAAATCACAGACTCCATCCGAACCTGGAATAGAAAGCAGAATAAGAGTTAAAACAGACTTGATTAAAACTGCAGAAGTAAAAGAGCAAGTGAACAATGAGTCTCTTTCGTCTTTGGAATATATAAACGAACATGATCATGATATTGCCAGCGAAGTTGTTTTACCCTTTAGTAAACCTTCACCCTCTACGCATAAAACCGAAAGTCAAGAGAAAAAACCAGAAACGTCTTCCAAAGTAGAGACTGGCACTACTAAACATGCTCGTTTCGATAAAATGGGAAAAGATTACATCATGGAGAACATTTTAAATGTTCCAACGGAATCGTTGCACAAAAGCCCGGTTGCAGATGTAAAAGCGCCAGATAAAAATGCAAAAAAGGTGGAGAGCGTGGAGGTTAACAGAAAACGGAAGTTACCACCGAACGATGAAATCAAACGAGATGATAAACGCCCGAGAAAAGCAGAGGATGATGTGAAAGCACATCCCAAAAAAACAGTTTTGACTGCTTCTGGTGAAAAACCAACGAGTGACGATATATTTGATAAGTTGTTGCGGGAAGGTCCTGTAAATAAAGTTTTTGCTCAGAGAATGACAGAGCAAACCACCAAAAAGGAAATTCAACCTAATTCCTCTGTGGAACAATTGAAGAACAGAGGGTACTCTACAGTCGCAGATCCCAGTAGAAAAGAGCGAACTTCTCAACCGCAGTCTACCTCACTTGTGCACGAATCCGCACGGTATAAAGACGTCAGATACCAGAAGAAGCCTGGATACCATACAAGTAGTGGTAGCAATCCCCAGTTAGATAGAAGATATCCAGACAAAAGGCACATTGCAGTAGTTGATACATCACCAAAAAGGTACCAAATAGGATGTTTTTACTGAATGGAGTATTTATTGTAGTTGTTTTAGACACGTGCGAAGCTACCCAAATTCGTATAGCTCGAAGAGTGATCCTTGTACCACACGTGATTACAAAACGCGAGATAGAAGAATGAGTACTGAGCATAATCCTTTCCCTAATTCAAGTAGATCGGAACTGCGACGCGATGACGATGAATTTTCTTGGATTGATAAGTTTAGTGGTAGTGGGTTATTTGATACACCGTCAGGCTTATTTATGCCTCCGGGTAAGTAAGTATTCTTTTTATATGAAAATCAAAGCATTAAGAGCTTAGTAGGCTTGGTGGAATTTTAATTTGCTTGTGGAAGCTTTTCAGATTTTTGCACATATTGAAAAATTAATCGTAATTAGAAATTATCCTATACATTATAAAGAAAGGAGGCTTTTCTTGTTTTATAAATCATTAGGGTTATTAAATCTGCGCTTGCATTATTTACAAAATTGTAGAGATGTGTGCAATTATTTTAAATAACATTATTTAAATTTTCCTGTTTTATCCTTTGAAAAAACTGATGACGTCATCTCAGTGTGACATCAAATTTTACAGTTTATTTTAGAGGTAGAACATGGGACTTTTAATATCTTACTAACCTTACTAACACGGATTTAGGAATCATGAAGTAGCAACTAATTGACTATATAATTCAAATTTTACGTCATTAATTTAATAAAAGAAAACTGACATCTGTTTCTGCAATAATAATTTTTAACCACTTGAATTAATATGTTGTTCGACGTGATTTAACAACCTTCGACCCGCAAACCATAAAATATGTTTTAATTCGGTTCGTGTTTTTGCGAACCTGGCAAGCTACATATTTCATCAGATATTAATGTTGGCTGGTTGTGAAAATTGATCGATTCTTACATTTATCACGTCATAAACACGATAGAACTATATTTAATCTGACAGTAAATAACACTTGAGCGAATGCAAAAATTGACTGCTGTAAGTTTCATACGATTAAGAGCGCCGTCAGTTCTGCGTTCCGCTTAGGTGTATAATTTTACGGTATACAGCTGTCCGGAATGTCTCGAACAAACTTAAGGGTATTGATAGGTATAGAAAAATTATTAAAAACATGTTTTCTTAAGAATCGTATTTTTATAAAAATAAATTTGGCAAAACTGAAGAATACACACTTATGTCTTTGATTGCATTCATATCTTTTTCGGTTATAACGGAAATACTAATTACTAATTAAACATTGTTACATTATTGTCGTTAAAACAATATGTGATGATAGATGATATCTTAAGCTTGAAAATGACACAATTTTTACGTTTGTTTTTAAAACCTCGATGTTACGGAAACATTTTAATAGTTGGATGAATTTTAGCGGATGTTTTTTTATAGAAACTATACCTTTTTTTTCTTTTCAGGGAGTAAACGGCAAGATGCATCATCACGAAAATAAAGAAAACAATTTTTACTGTGGTTTTAGCCTTTCATTACGTAATTTTGAATATATTGAGGAAATATTTCTTTATACATATACCTACATATATTTCATTGTACCTATAGTTTAATTTTTTTACATTGTTATTTCATGTAGTTTTATTATGAGTCTAATTTATATTTATTTGTACCTTACAATTTTAGTGCAAATACGATTAAGTAAATGTTATTTAACTGAACCTGTTGAAAATAAAGAGTGAAATTAAAAATTATTGGTCTTTGTTTTGTTAAATAAAAGAAGAAAAGTAATTCTAGTTCACCTTTTAGTTAGTAGGATCATCTTGTTTGCCGTATGGAAATCTCTTATATTCGTTACTTCGTGCAGATGGTGCATATACCTACATATCGAAGATTAAACCTGTGAACATAATGAGATTGTAGTACTTTTTTGTAAATATTGTGTTTGCTATATGAAACATATCGAAGAAAATTGCAAAACGTCAAAAAAGGTAAATTTTTGAGGACATCAATTGGGATAAGCAGTGAATACTTTATAGTCTTCCAAATTTTCTAAGGTTACGTGGCCCCACTAAAATGGGAAATAATAATCCCTCTTGGTTACCGGTATGAGCCTATCGTCATAAATCTGGGATTTATTATGGACTTCACAATACCCTAATTTTACAACAACCATATAAACCTTACAGAATTTGGAAGACTATAACTAGAAGTTAAACTCTTGTGGTTACCAATGGTAATTATAAACACTGCCATTTATTTTTGATAAAAGTGAACTGATTTTATCTTTTCCGAAAAAAAAATTCTTCGTGTCACTTTTCAGATGCTAATTAAAGTTAATCTTTAATATTTAATATTTGTAAATTGTAAAAATAAATAGTTAGTAATTATTAATAATTTACGAGTATGTTCTTTAGTTTTGACATCAGTCCAAAGTAAACCAGGTGTGTTTTTCATGTTCGGTGATAAGAAAACATATATTTCGTACGAGAGAGAATCGAATATTTTCTAAAAGGACAGGAAACCGTAAAAATGTAACTAGTTCAAACGAGTAATAAGAAATGTCAGTAAGATATATAAAACCGAAAACTTTGCGATTGAAAATAAAATGGATTAGAGTTGGCTAAAAGAACTCAGGCCAGCGGTACAGATGATACTACTGCGCATCTACACCAACTTCATTCAGTGAGCTGACGGTTCTGTGATATTGGAAATTAAACATGTGCACTTGTGCAGCAGAGATTTGTTTTTCATATTCAGCATCCATTGATGCAAAATACTTCAGTAGTTAAAGATTCCTTACTCAATATCTGTGTTATTAACAGACGTAGGTATTAGTTATTCTGAAATTTTAAATGTGACCTGTTACACCTTTCGCTATTATATAGGTCACCCAAGTTCAATTTTTGTTAAGCAGTTTATCGTCAACTTGTTTTTAGCATTTTGGTGAAATTTTTCATCACGTCTCTTTAAAAATCAATATCCCTATTATTCATGGAAATTTCGTAACGTAGTTTTCATCAGCGTTTTTAGCTTACAGAACTCTACGTTGCCCGCGAAGCATTGTCCATTTTTTTTGCTGGAAATAAGATACACTAAAAACAAGCCTATGTCGAAGAAGCCGCTTTTGCTGTATCTCATTTTCAACAAAAGAAAATAGTGTTGAAAACCGTGTTCCGAAATAATTTCCATAAATAATTGAGATATTATTGATTTTTAAACTACGTGATGAAAAATTTCAGGAAAATAAAGATGATAAACTGTTAAAAAAAACTGCCGCTAGGTTATGAAAAGAAAGTTGTGGACAACTTCATTTACAATCTCATAGCAATAGAGATATTAGATTCTGAAAATGTATTGAACATTCTACAAGTGAAAAGGTAGGGACTAGGGACTTGGTCATATAATTTAGTAGCAAAATTAGGCCTGTCAAAATCAACCAGATGTCAAGAATTCAGAAATATTTATTACAAATTTTTTGGAAACATTTTTCTTTTCTGTTTCTGATGCATATTTCAAAAATATGAGATAGATAAATTCTGTTGGCAGATTTGGACCAAATTTGAAGCACATCAAAATCCATGAAGTTTTTACTTCCCGAGCGTAAGCAAAGGAAGTATTGTAATCGAGTCCATCGGCCGACTCTCTACTTTTACGTTTTCTCGATCTTTCATGACCCCTAGAGGACGAAGAAATAGATCTGCCATTACCGTCTGTCTGTCCGTCTGTCTGCCGTCCCGGATTTTTATTAGACAGATAATCTCCGAAAGTACTTAACCGATTGTTGTGAAATTTTGTACTTATATTAGGAATATCATGTAGATGGTAAAACGCTAACCAAAATTTGTCTAATCATCCCCACCACTAATGCGATGACGTCACTTCAAAATTGTACATAGTAAATGGGTTTTAAATTGTATAAAATAACATAGTCCTACATATGTAGTTTACAACTCCGAATTGAGTTTTCACCCGCAACGTCCAGATTTTTGGAAAAAAAATCAAAATTATAAAACAACATTTTGCAATTTAATTTTGAATCTGCTAACCCGAATGTTTTGAAATGTTGCAGATGTTTTAAGGCTATAAAGAGCATCATAAATCTTTAGTCAAAATATATTTGGTTATCCCCTCCAAAAACTTGATGACATTAGCTCAAAAGTTTGCCGAATAAATCCTATCTAAAATGTACAAAATATGATGAGTCTGTACTTGTGATATATCACAATTTTTGATCAAAATGTATTTGGTCGTCCCCCCTAAAAAAATTTATGACGCCACCACAAAATTTGATGAATAAATTGTATGTAAAATGTACAAAATATGGTGGGTCTCTTCTTGTGATTAATCATTCCATTTAAATTTTTTACTTCCCGAGCGTAAGCAAAGGAAGTATTGTAATCGAGTCCGTCGGCCGACTCTCTACTTTTACGTTTTCTCGATCTTTCATGACCCCTAGAAGACGAAGAAATAGGTCTCCCATTTCCGTCTGTCTGTCCGTCTGTCCGTCCGTCTGTCCGTCTGTCCGTCTGTCCGTCCGTCTGTCCGTCTGTCCGTCCGTCTGTCCGTCTGTTGTCCCGGATTTTTATTAGACAGATAATCTCCGAAAGTACTCGACCGATTGTTGTGAAATTTTGTACTTATATTAAGAATATCATGTAGATGGTAAAACGCTAACCAAAATTTGTCTAATCATCCCCACCACTAATGCGATGACGTCACTTCAAAATTGTACATAGTAAATGGGTTTTCAATTGTATAAAATAACATAGTCCTACACATGTAGTTTACAACTCCGAATCGACTTTTCACCCGAAACGTCCAGATTTTTGGAAAAAAAATCAAAATTATAAAACAACATTTTGAAATTTAATTTTTAATCTGCTAACCAGAATGCTTTGAAATGTTGCAGATGTTTTAAGGCTATAAAGAGCATCATAAATCTTTAGTCAAAAAATATTTGCTTATCCCCTCCAAAAACTTGATGACGTCAGCTCAAAAGTTTGTGGAATAAATCATATCTAAAATGTACAAAATATGATGAGTCTGTACTTGTGATCTATCACTCCATTCATATTTTTTGGATTTGCATATACAGGGTGACTCAAAAAAATTAATGAATGCGTAAATTTATTTTACTGATTTACTCAGAAACTACAAAACCGAATGCTTTGAAATCTTGCAGATGTTTTAAGGTTCTAAAGAGCATAATAAATGTTTAGTCAAAATATATTTGCTTATCCCCTCCAAAAAATTGATGACGTCAGCTCGAAAGTTTGCCGAATAAATCCTATCTAAACTAGTGATGTGAGTGTATAATACAGGCTGTATAATACCACGGTTTAAAACTGTATTATACGGTATGTATAAAATGTTTTTATACCACTGGTATAAAATTAAATTTTTAGGTTATGTCAATCGTAATTTTTTTAACTTATTAAGTTACATTAAAAGCAATTTATCATTGCAAAATAATATTTATGATTATAAGGATGACAATGAGAATATCCTCAAATTGCAAGACGATGTAGATAATGATGTCGACATTGTCGAAGATAACATCACGTAGTTGTTGAAGATCAATAAAACAATAGTCTCTACTTTTGTTATTTTTTTTTAATTGAGAAAACTGTTTTATTTTCATATTTACATAGTTTATTGTTTGTTTTTTTTTTTATAATAAATTCTTCGTGAAGTGTTTTTCTTTTATTCTCTCTACTAAAGTCGCGATCTTTTCTATAGAACCACTCCCTAGTGTAAATTTTCAAAATTTGTTTGGTGTAAGTGACCTTGACGGGTTTCTGGGGGAAAACATATGTGTCAAAAATTTGACAGATTAGATGGCCCCATTGTCAATGTAGATATTTTATTTTAATAAATAGATGAACAGAACATACAGTCTGCACGGGATACAGCAACCGAAACATTCGTGTTGTAGTAGTTTCGATTGCCGTATCAACTACCGCTACCAACCGCGTTCGGCGTAAAGTACTAGATGACAGGGCTACCAACTTGACTTTTTATCGAGTGGTTCCGTAGAAATGACCGCTACTGTAATTAGTAAATCACCAGATGACGTTTACCATAAAGCTAAAAATGAAAAATGTTGGCGCCAAAATTTGAATATAATACCATATAAAATACCGTATAAAACGGTATTATACCATGGTTTTATACCGCAAAAATAAAATACGGTATTTTTACATCACTAATCTAAACTGTAAAAATATGATGAGTCTGTACTTGTAATTTATCCCTCCATTCATATTTTTTGGATTTGCATATACAGGGTGACTCAAAAAAATTAATGAATGCGTAAATATATTTTATTGATTTAATCTGGAACTACAAAACCGAATGCTCTGAAATCTTGCAGATGTTTTAAGGTCATAAAGAGCATAATAAATGTCTAGTCAAAATATATTTGCTTATCCCCTCCAAAAACTTGATGACGTCAGCTCGAAAGTTTGCCGAATAAATCATATCTAAAATGTACAAAATATGATGAGTCTGTACTTGTCATTTATCACTCCATTTATATTTTTTGGATTTGCATATACAGAGTGACTCAAAAAAATTAATGAATGCGTAAATATATTTTATTGATTTAATCAGGAACTACAAAACCGAATTCTTTGAAATCCACTGCGAAAAAAAAAACATAATAGGCATGCAGTCGTCACGTTTCCGACAGCGAGGGAAGTACTGTCTAAACTCTTTAGACCAATTTTTTCTTAGCTGTGGCCACATATTT